GAATTTAGCAGCTCGGGAATCGACATACGATTAATGTTCATTCTCTTTAACGCATATTGCCAACCACCGCGGTTTCTTTTGTAGTACTTTTTTGTAACTTGTGCAGCGAAAGGTTGTAGGCAGAAACAGGTAGCCTAGATATTCAAGCAAGCCGCCGGCTAATTGCGGGTGTTAAAAGTCTCAGTGAGGCTGTTACCAGAATACAAATGGGTCGGAGAACCAGGATCAGGTCACCACAACGACCGAGACCGAAGTCACAAAACAGGTCACAAATGTCCAGACAATCTGGGCAATTCAATTGGTATCACTGGAAATTTGGTGTCAGCTCAAGCAAGTGCATGCAATCATTCGCCTGGCCTAAATAGAATACCAAGAACATGGTAAAAGAATAAGCCATACCCAGGTTTCGACGAATGAGGAGAGGCCCTTAAACAGTCGCTTGTTTTATGTTAGAGACAGAAACTCTGGTTTGAACATCTTGGCAGATACTGGCGCTGCTCTTAGTATCATCCTTTGAAGTAAAACTGAGCTGGGTCGAGAAACATCCCCAGTTACACTTCAAGCTACCAATAAAACCAAAATTGCGACATTTGGGCGGAAAACTTTAACACTAAATTTCGGGTTCATGAGTCAATTCCCCTGGGTTTTCAATGTAACCGATTCAGATCTGGCAGCACTGAAGATGGACTTTCTGGAGAGATACAAATTTCTAGTTGACACTAAAAAAGGCTCTTAACACTGAAAGAAACTTAGAATTACACGAAAGGCAAATAAAGTTACATTTCATCTCTCAGCTTGATACAAACTCCTCCAGTAACAACTGCGAAATTCCAAGACATACTCGCGGAATTTCCAAAATTAACTAGACCAAACCCACAGCTTTCTAAACACAAACTACAAGCAAGTCATACTATCAAAACCGAAGGTGCACCTGTGTTTGCAAGACCCAGGAGACAAGCACCAGATAAGCTCAAAATTTCTAGAGCTGAATTTGAGTACTTGCTACAACTGGGCATTATCAGTCCCTTTGATAGTCAATAAGAATCCCCTTTACATATGGTCTCAAAGAAAAAGGAAGGAGATTGGCGACCGTGTGGGAACTACAGGGCCCTCAACCAAAGAAATCGTACCAGATAGGTACCCAATACCGCATATCCAAGATTTCACAAACAGTTTACAGGGTATGAACATATTTACTTAAACTGACTTAGTCAGGGCATATCATAATATCCCGGTGGATCACGAAGTCATCCCTGAAACAGCTATTATTACACCTTTCGGCCTGTTCGAGTTTGTACTCATGCCATTCGGCCTGAGGAATGCAGCACAAAAATTTCAAAGATTCATGGATAACCTACTTCCAGTTGCTCCATTTGCACGGGAGTATATAGACAATTTGCTTATTGCCAGCCTCGATTTACAATCATACGAACAGCGTGTACGAGCAGTGTTAAAACGGCCGAATGAAAATGGAATGGACATGCATCAAAGTAAGTTTATTTTTGGTGTTCGATCTCCACAATTTCTTGGGCACACAGTAATTCCGAAAGGGATTACGCCTATCAAAGAAGAAGTGGGAAACATTAAAAAAATACCCCTTACATAGTTCTCTAACACAACTTAGAAGTTTCCTAGGTTTAATTAACTTTTATCGCAGATTCGTACCCGGTTGTGCACAGCTAACCAAAAGAATTCAAGCTCACTTTTGAGGCTGTTGAGGCTATTAAACAGCTAAAAGATAAACTGACCCAAGCATCTACGTTGATGTATCCGAAGTCTCCTTCCTCACTTGCTTTGATGATGAACGATTTGGGAAAAAATAGTAGGCGGTACCTTTAACCAACTGGTTAAAACGCCTAATTGCTTTCTTCCCAAAAAGACTCCAGCAGAGACATGGTATTCTACCTTCGGGAGAGAAATTCTTGTAATCTATCTGGTCATTAGACATTTCCAAGACAAGGCAGGGAATTCATAGTTTTACGGACCACAAACCACTAACGAATGCATTGAAAGCGAGATTCGATAAATACTTACCTTGAGAAGTACAACACCTTGACTATATATCACACTTCACAAGTGATATCCGACATGTCAAAAGTCAGGAAAACCAGGAGGCAGATGCGTTATCTCGACTAGAAATGAATGTGATACAACAGTCTACATTGAGAGACAGACAAGAAGAGGATCAAGAATTACGAAACCTACCCACAACAAACAAGTCTAGTCTCAAACTAAGGCAGTTACCATCGCCTATTGACGGTATTCTAATTTACTGTGACACGATCGATGTAATGCCACAACCTTTTGTCCCCAAAAGTATATGAAAACTAATATTTAGTAACTTTCATTCTTTATCTCATCCTCGTGCAAAATATTCGGCTAAGCTAATCAGTGCCAGATATATATGGCCAGGTTTACAGGAGGATGTACACAAATGTGTTAGAGAGTGTTCGACATGCCAACAATCAAAGGTTAACTGTCACACAAATTCACCTCTGGGTGTTTTCTTGCAACCAGATGCTCGTTTTTCCCATGTGCACGCCAACTTAGTAGGCTCTTTATCGCGTATGAATGGTTTTAATTATCCGTTTACATGTACAGATCGGTTCACGAGATTCCCTATAGCCATACCAATAATGGACATCACAGCTGAAACAGTAGTCAAGGTCTTCATGGAGGGGGGGGATAGCACGGGAAATCCATCGCTCTTCTGAAACCTGGATTTTCGAAAACCAGGTACCAAATATCGTAAGGGGATACACTTTGTGCATGCATATGTATATGAATTTCTTGAGTCTGGACTTACGCAGCCGTGCATGTGAGTATATACAAAGAGAAAGTGCCGGACTCCATCACAGAGAGCGAATATGACAGTCTGCTTTAGTCAAAAAGGCCTAACCAGGTTTGTGAACAAAAGAAGTGAATAGCAAATATAGGTAAAACGAGTGGTGACGATCTGCCTTTCCATAGGAGCGCGTATACTAATGTGTATGCCATAAGATAGATGAGCAAAAACCTATGTGTTGCCGATATGGATGTACCCGTCTAAGGCACAACGGCCTGGAGCTGGAACAGTTTTCCCTCAAAAACACATACTAGTGACGTGGTGTGTTTGTTTTGAAGAACAGCACGTCTCAACGGAAGAGCCAACTTGACTTACCTTAAGAGGCTTAACCAAACTAATTGGATCTGGGTCGGTACCACACGTTTTAAACGATAAGTTTGTTAGTAACGTCTCTTATTATTTTTTCACCTAGGGATGATCATCTTAGGGGGCCTTTTTATAAAGTTGGGAAATCGAAATATTCGGCTCTTTTGAACTCTTCTTGCAACCAACAAGATTCCTGTCTAGCGATGTAGCTCCAGAAATCCTACTGGTTTGAGACAAACATAGGTGGATGCAGTCAAGACCTTAGCCACCCTTAGCTTTATCCAGAGACGATTTAGCGACTTTTCTTCAGAGCTATTTCAGGCAGTATTCAAAATATACATCAGGCTACATCTAGAAACTCACGACGTTGCAGCACGTCCTATCAAAATCAGAGCTAGGACTCTTTTGAACAAGTTCAAAAATGCATCGCTAGTGTGTTGAAGATTAGAAACAAATCATATTAAGGTTATCTTAGTTACCCAATATCGTTTCTGTTAGTCCCCGGAAGAGTACGAGACGACCTGATAATGGCTTACCGAATACTAAGTGCTTCTGAGTACACGAATTGAGGACATACCACCTGAGTTTGACTAATGTACCTCAAGAAGCAGTTCAAGACGAATGGCATATCAGAAAGGCGGCTTCCAGACAATATAACACTTGTCTTTAATAGGAGCCAACTCCAACTAGAAGTTTCTCTCAGTAAATAGCTGTCAGAGGAGGCATGGTAGACAAGTATTCATAGATGGTTAATCATAATTCTCCTGACGTAATGTAATATTTAGATGTATTTGAATTATTGTGCGAGCTAGCTTTCCTCGAATCAACGCAATTTAAGCCATAAAGGACTAGGTGAGCACAAACAAACGTATTATACCCGGAATTCGAAACCAGATAGTCACCAAGTACAAAAGAATTGTAGGGCCAGTGAAATGTCACTAAGCCCTAGCCAAATCATCCGGCAATTGGGTCATTGATTATCGAACAAATCGTCGATCCTCATCAAGGTCATGTACAACAAACGCGCATTAGTTAATGGTATGCCATGGACTGGCCCATGCGGCAGTGGTCTTACTTTCGCCTGTATCTACCTTAACTAATATATTTCTGTAATAACGTCTTTTGTGTTGTACAGTCTTCAAAGCATCTATAGTACCTTGTTACGTCAATGGGGGTAGTCCACGTAAGGTGCTGACCACGAGGTGTGACTTCGACGTTAGTTGGTTCGTCACACTATTCACGTCTAACTCGAGTAGGCCTCCAATCATTTCGACATAGATCATCTACGTTAGTGATCTACAGAATCAATAGTTCTTACAGACACCACATGTAGCTGTATCTAACACATGTTTCGTACCTTCTCATTCCTTTCAACATTATCCCTATTATTATTATCATCATCATTATCGCCATCATTATTACCTCTACCATAATTACTACCACTATTATGAACCCTACTCACACGTTTGCGTAAAAATTGTATTTACGGATTCTGAGTTATCTTTTCTTTGCTTTCATACAATCTAGCTTTTTAACTCTTCAAATCGCAAGTAGGCAACCTTCTATCCAGTAATGTAGCGGTTGCTTGTTTGAACAATCCTACTGTCTTAGAACAAATAGATTCATTAAATCAAAGATATGTAAAATCCTAGTTGTCTATCATATACTCTAGGATTAGCTCAATAAAAACTCTGAACATGTGTAATCGGCACTTTTCAATAATATGTTTACATTAATGCAGTTCTTGTGGGTAACAATCGGCTTGTGACCCCAGTTTCTTGCCATTGAATGATGAAGACAGAAAGTACATGGAAGTTTGTGTACAATGTGCAAGTGGTTGCGTTACTGTAATTTTGGCTCAGCCTTCGAAGAGTAGGTATGGGCGGTCAGTATACATATATTTAATCCACAATGTCCTGTTACACAGCGTGATTCATTTCTTTATTTGTATGCGTTTTGTTGGAGATTTAAAGCCATTTCCCTTGCTTCATATAGCGGTAAGACTATAATATGTGGACGACCTTGGAATGACGTTTTGTCACCCACATTAAAGACTTCACTTTACTCTCAATTATTAAAAAAACAAAATTTGATCAGTAATATCAAACTGTTTTAGTGGGGATGCAGTTCATTAGTATAGTTGATCAGTTACTCTGGTTTGAACCCTTATCTAGTTTCTAAGATTGTGTTGGTCAAGTAGTATCACTGGTTGCTACTTAGTATTTAGCTGGTGATTTTATGCAATACTGTCTGGTTATGTAGTTGCATTATACAAGCCTGGAAGTTTGTGTGTACCTAATTGGATGATAAAGAGTTTGGTACAGCATTGGGACAGAAAGATAAAGGAAACAGATTTAGCTTGGTTTTACCTAGTGCACACTGATGCAACTAATCTATGTCTGTATATTTGCTATATTTACTGACAATTTCAGGACAATTTTGATGCTTTGGTTCGTTGATCATAAGAATGTACCAACCACTAAAATTGAAATCGAGGGACCACACCATTCGCAAAGTTTTCCCAGATTTCTGTAGTCATAGGAAATTTCCATTGCTTTTACTTATTAGGGGCTTCCATATATCCTAGGTTATCAAACAAATATATATTTAAGAACGGCTTTATTGCAGTGTTGATTAGTAAACCAGTTTCATTATACGAGTGGAAACTTTTGTTTACACGTAAAGTTTTATAGCTTTAAAATTGGCAGTCGTCTGCGTTATCGACTTCCTCAAACGACAGCATTCACCATTTCTCCACCTGTCTCGGAAAGCATGGAAGAACAAGACTATTAGTGTCAGTGAAAAGTCTGTATTTCGATACACCAGATTGGTCCTAGCCATATTGTATTTTTTCATTTTTCAGTCGTTAGCCATATTATTGGTGAAGGATAGTAATACCACACAGGTCCTCAAGTTAGAGCTCGTACCTGTGGCTTTTTACTTAAAAGGCATCAACACATATTTTACTTCATTCCTCTTTGATTTTACCACACGAGTCTTTAGATATTTTAGCAGGATACATATTAGATTAAAGCACGTTCCATGTAGTATAGTGTTGGGGCACGCTGCTTGGCTACTTCTTATCCAATGAGCGCTAGTGGATACTTAGAAAATACTCCAGGATCTTTTCATGTAAAAATTATAAATATACTAACGTTTTTCTCATTGTGATTCCTACTTCATTTAACCTTTTCACTTGGGATATAATTACGTTCCTGTTCAATCCTGTTCTGATTTGGAGATTTATCGAGTAAAGTAGTGTCCGAGATTACTAAGCAATGAGAGTAGCTGGGTCGTAATAAGAGAATTATAACAAGATTTATTCCAAATAACCTTAAAAATATTTTATTGGGTAACCAAATTTTATTTATAGTTTCAGGGATATATATTATCAGCCTCATAATATTTGTATTACATGTTCCAAAATTTACTGTAACTGGATAATAGGGTGTTTTGAATCGACGTATTCTAGTAACACCCAAGTTTGTAGTCCTAATTTTATTAATTTTAATCCTTAAACTAACTAATGACAATTTTATTCCAGAAAGTATCATGTTGTATGTATACATGATTGGTAGAAAAGTAATATTAACTGAAGCGAAATCTGGTAAACGATCCAATCGCCAGATTAAGGAATGATTTTGTAAGGTTTTATTTTAGAAATGACGAGTTTTCTAGATTTCTTGAATATTTATATCTGTACACATCTAGTGCGTACCTTCTTAATTTACTGTTACTGTATATAGTAGTCGTAACTGGTTTCCTCTTATTCTTGGTTTACAGAAGTTTACTGAAACGTTTTTGGCAATATTTGATCTGAGATATGTTGTTTTGTGCTCTAGCTCTACAAGAGTCCTGTTCACATGGAACGTAATTTTTACTAAACATACCCAGAATTTATATATGTGATCATATTATCCCAAATTTTTCGATTCTGGGTTCTAGAAATGAAAGGTCATTCCAATTCAACGTTGCCTCCAGGATCAGTTCTAATACAGTCTGGCCAGGCCATTTCTCAGACTTCTGGCATAGCTGCTCTCCAAACTAACAGTGTCGCAAGTGGTCCACAGAATCTCCAAGTGTGGACTCCGTCACCATCTGGAGCTATTACGGTTTCGGGTATCCCATCATCAAGGAGTTCTGCCAACTTGGTTACTCTCCCCTCTGGCCAGACTGTATTGATGGCCAATTTGGTAACAACGGCTACCACAGCACCGATTTCTCTTTCAACATCTTCAATTGCTAAACAACAAATCCAAGTTCCAACCGGTCTTCCACCTGGTGGGCCCATTGTCATATCTAATCCCAATTCTGCTGGTCCACTTGCTACACAGCTCACGAATCCCACTGTCATACAAGGTCCTAACGGTCAAATGTCAGTGGCATTACCAGGTGGCATAATAAGTAGCAATACATTAAACTCATTCAATAGTTCATCCACTGCCTTTGTTTCAAGCACATTGGGAAACATATCTACCGATCAACCTGTACATATCGCTCAGATTGTTGATAATCATTTGCGTCCAGGAACGGCTTGTTTCACAACAAATGCTGGCTTTCAGGGAATAACACCTATGAATCAAGTACTTTTGGACTCAACAAGTTTTAATCTTGGCAGTGCTCAAACACAAAACAAGTTGATTAATATGTCGTCCATCAGACCTCCTGGACTTGTGTCTTCTCCCATGCAACCAGTTCACCCTGGTAATTCGTTCGCTGCAGCTGGAAATATTCCTAGAGGTTTGTCTGTCAACCTTTCTTCTGACATCACAAACACGCAGTCAAAACCATCAGTTTCTCAACCAGTCATTGTCTCTACTTCAAATTTGCCTGTCCAAGAAGCAGCTATATATCCAGTTCAAGATGAATGCTCATCGGCAATGCAAAATGGTACTCCTACTTCGGGTCCAGTTACAACATCTGTGGTTGATGTTAGCTCAACTAACAATCCATCTATTTCAACTGCTGGAGTTACTGTCGTCGAAATACCTTGCTCACCTGAAAATGGTCAAACAAATCTCAACTCAAAGTGCATCACTGATGAGCAAACCAATTCCGTTTTCACATCAAGTTCCTTATCTGAGTTGTTAACTGAATTTGAACCTCATTTACAACTAGATCCTGATGTTGAAGAGGTATGTTACTACTTATTTTATTCCTTGCCTTTTACCTATACAAGACAGGAATGTAACCATATTCTGATTTTATGTCTTTCTAGTTAAAAAATTTTAGTTGTTAAGTCTTCACCGTCATTTTGTACAAAATCGTGAGCTTTTTAATTATTTTAAAAACACTGGATCAGTTCATTTTGCCGACCTTAATTGTCCTCATTCGTTCTTAGTCTTTTTGACTTTGGTCAATGGATTAAAATGGCTGTGAAATGTATATCACATGTGTCCAGTTACCGTCTACCTCGTCGAGAAATGTTGGCTGATGTAAGAATAATTTGGAAAAAAGGTAGGAGCTTTCAGGATTGGTGAGTAGTAAGAGAACAAACACAGTTTAAAGAGTTCATATAATTCAGTTCCTTATCATTTCATTTCCTGAAACGGACAGGTCAATAAAAGACAATAACTAAGCACTCATACAGGTTCAAATTTTCTTGATGCTTCACCACTGTTTTTATTTGTGCTTATGTTATAATTTCTCTTATTACGACCCAGCTACTCTCATTGCTTAGTAATCTCGGACACTACTTCACTCGATAAGTCTCCAAATCAGAACAGGATTGAACAGGAACGTAATTATATCCCAAGTGAAAAGGTTAAATGAAGTAGGAATCACAATGAGAAAAACGTTAGTATATTTATAATTTTTACATGAAAAGATCCTGGAGTATTTTCTAAGTATCCACTAGCGCTCATTGGATAAGAAGTAGCCAAGCAGCGTGCCCCAACACTATACTACATGGAACGTGCTTTAATCCAATCTGTATGTCGCTAACAACTCTGTTAGCCAACTGTAGCTGAAGAGTTACTAAGGCTACAAACCGTTTACACGATACTCAACCTTGGCTGATAATATCACGTAGATATATGTATAATCCAAGTTAGAAGTTAAGTACTTTGTATGAAATTAAAAAGAAGAATATATTTGTAAAATCTCAGCGAATGAATTTTACTTAAAATTCATTCGCTGAGATTTTACAAATATATTCTTCTTTTTAATGTCTCAAATTAACTCGGCGCCCAAATATTGTGAAACTATTCGTTCAAATTTAGACGAAAGTTCTTATTTGTATGAAATACTTTCTAAATGCCTTTGTTGTGGGACTTGGAATCATGATATCCTCTTATGATACATTTCAAAGTTTTGAGTTATAACAAGTCTCTGATAATTATTGTTATCAATATTTATGTTCTCCCGTTAACCTTTAGAAATATTTTAGTGAAGTTGAAATGATACACCATTGATCCTGAAGTAGTATTTTCTGTGTTTATCGAGTAATATATATTTTAGATTTTAGTAGTAAACCCACCAACATAATTTAGTGAAATCACTCTGATGTTAGTACCTCCATATAAACTGTTATGAAGAACTCTTTCAAAAAATTATTAGATCAAAATACGCAAGCGAACAGTATTTTCGTTTAGATCATCAGAATTTACTCTAATATATAGTAATCCATTTATATGCATATATGAAACGTAGTAAGTCAATCATAACAATTTATGAGTCAGTGATAATGAAAAGCATTAAATAACTAATCATAATAAGTAGAGAGTATAAGCATGATAGTAAATATAAGAACAGTATGACATGAACAAATATGTATCGACATAGGTAATAGGCAAAAGCTCGAAAAAAAGGACTTACTAAAATGGTAATTATTAGAATTTATTTATCTGAACACATAAATATTGGTACAAAGGGTTACCGAATACATATGCACCACACAGGTTATTTGATTTATGTGAGGGCTAGGATACTCCCCGGGTGCCCAGACCGAAGCAGGTGGTTTTCTTAGGGGGCCACACTCCGAGTCTTTGACCTAAATGTCTGATCCACAAGGCAGTGGAGCAACGTTACGAGATGCAGTACCATGGTAGCAGGTGACTAACAATAGGTTCATACGCCTTTTGTTCAGGTCAGGATCCTGGAACTCATGTGCACCATTGTTTTGGAATTAGGGTTTTCCAACTCCCTTAGGTGGAACCTCCATATCCACCAACCAGGTTAGAGCTCCAAACATTCGCTTTTCGTCCTCTCAATTTCGCAAACGACGCCTCTGCTGCGAGAAGGCAATGAGTAGGACTTCCCTGTCAGTGGCTGTATACGTGTGGTTATGTGAGAGTATTTCGAGAGGGAGAGCGGACTTTCCCGACTCTCAGTCGTACCAGGGCATTTGCGGGCAATCATTATAATTACACAATAAGAAATGTGTATGAATAATCAGATTAAACGTATAAGTAAGTGCAATAAACATTTGAAAGATAACAATTTTGTTTTATTCTTAGATCAGTATTTTTTTGTGTTACCTTTTTATCCCACTTTCTTTCTCCGTAGGTTATAACTAATTTAGCTAATGAATTTATTGTAAATTGTGCAGAAAAAGCTCAACAACTTGCTTCACATAGGGGTATATCAAATGTTGAAGCAAAAGATGTTGTATTTTGTATGGGTAGGTTTTTGTTTTTGTTTTATAAATTTAAATATTTGTTATTATCATCTGATTGTATAGTTGGATTATATAATTCAACTATTTATTGTTTCCTAATATACAATTAATAACAACATACACTCTTAAATAGAGTGAGACTACAAGTATAGGGGTTGTGGAGATTATTAAGTTTTTGATTGAGATCATGAACCGATTGATGTTAGACCGCCGTTGGAAACCTGGAAGGACTGGATGGCCGTTTCATCCTATTGTAGGACTCCTCAGCAGTGCGCAACCATCCCGCTCGCGGGATTCCATGTTTCCAACGGTAGTCTAACATCAATCGGTTCATGATCTCAATCAAGAAAGACTTCTCGACCTTGTATTTATTATTATTTGGACACATGAATATTGGTACAGGAGAGCGCCAATATATATGTGCCACACAAAACAATGAAAATTCGAGAGGAATACAAAGAAAGAAAAAAAAAGCTAAGGAGCGCAACAAAAAAAAGAGAGAACAATAACGAAGAGATTGGTGTAAGGTAATGTGCTAGTAATCAGGGAACGCAAAGGTACAATCAGAAGAAATCTTTCAGGTGAGGGAGACAGAACCACTTTTTATGAAGAAAGTAAAAGAAGGTTACAGCAGGATCGCCACTGGCTTCTATTCTGAGCCATATCTGATAACGTCTCTAGCCACTGTGTGGCACCATCTCTCAGACCCCAACCAGGGAGTCGTGAAGGACCAACACAAGCCAGTCCTTTGCAGCTTTCTTTCATGCCACGACACCATTTCATGCACTGACCACCTCTCCGCTTCATCCAACTAGTCCCAGAGTCGGCAAATAATGCACGACGTGGAATTCTCTGGGACGACATTCGTAGAACATGTCCAAGCCACCGAAGTCGGTGTTTCAAGATGGTGACACCAATTGAATTATCATCTCTGTGCCCGAACACACGATGCCGAACCTCTGCATTACTGACATGGTGTTGCCACTGGATGTCAGCAATCCTTCGGAGACAGCGATGATCGAACACAGAGAGTCGTCTAACGTCCTCAACTCGGAGAGACCAGGTTTCACAAGCATAGAGCAAAACTGCTCTCACCGACGCGTTGTAGATCCGACCTTTTACGGCCAGACTAACATCACGAAGGCGCCATAGATGGCCCAGATTGGCATAAGCCGCTCTGGCTTTCACTATTCGTGCATTGATCTCATCACTCACACCCCCACCAGCACTTATACAGCTACCCAGATACACGAACTTCTCGACTACGTCTATCTGCTCACCATCCAGGGTGAGTACAGGATTGGAATCCTGCCAGTCTTGTAGGAGTACTTTGCACTTCGAAGGTGCAAAGCACATACCATACCTACGGACACTGATTGCCAACTGATTAAGTGTGGATTGCATGCCTTAGGCATTATCGCACAGTAAGACAATATCGTCCGCATACTCAAGGTCGAGAAGTCTTTCTCCAGGCAACAGATCCACACCACCATTACTTACATTGATCAGAGCTGTTTCCAGAATGTCATCGATGGCAAAGTTGAAGAGGAATGGTGAGATTGGGCAACCCTGCCTAACCCCACTACTCGAATGGAACAATGGAGAAAGGTGGTTGTATGCCCTCACTCTGCCTGAGGTGTTTGTATATAGGGCTTTTAGGATGTTAATAAACTTCTCAGGCACACCCTTCTTCAATAGACAATCCCAGAGAATAGTTCTGTCCAACGAATCGAAGGGAGCCCTGATGTCAAGAAACACTACGATTGTTGGCCTTTGATAAGTATGGCGGTGTTCTAACATTTGGCGGAGGGTGAAGATATGATCAATACATCCTCGACCAGAACGAAACCCAGCCTCGACCTTGAGTATGCGGACGATATTGTCTTACTGTGCGATAATGCCCAAGGCATGCAATCCCCACTTAATCAGTTGGCAGTCAGTGTCCGTAGGTATGGTATGTGCTTTGCACCTTCGAAGTGCAAAGTACTTCTAAAAGACTGGCAGGATTCTAATCCTGTACTCACCCTGAATGGTGAGCAGATAGAAGTAGTCGAAAAGTTCGTGTATCTGGGTAGCTGTATAAGTGCTGGTGGGGGTGTGAGTGATGAGATCAATGCACGAATAGTGAAAGCCAGAGCGGCTTATGCCAATCTGGGCCGCCTTTGGTGTCTTCGTGATGTTAGTCTGACTGTAAAAGGTCGGACCTACAACGCGTCGGTGAGAGCAGTTTTGCTCTATGCTTGTGAAACCTGGTCTCTCCGAGTTGAGGACGTTAGACGACTCTCTGTGTTCGATCATCGCTGTCTCCGAAGGATTGCTGACATCCAGTGGCAACACCATGTCAGTAATGCAGAGGTTCGGCATCGTGTGTTCGGGCACAGAGATGATAATTCAATTGGTGTCACCATCTTGAAACACCGACTTCGGTGGCTTGGACATGTTCTACGAATGTCGTCCCAGAGAATTCCACGTCGTGCATTATTTGCCGACTCTGGGACTAGTTGGATGAAGCGGAGAGGTGGTCAGTGCATGAAATGGTGTCGTGGCATGAAAGAAAGCTGCAAAGGACTGGCTTGTGTTGGTCCTTCACGACTCCCTGGTTGGGGTCTGAGAGATGGTGCCACACAGTGGCTAGAGACGTTATCAGATATGGCTCAGAATAGAAGCCAGTGGCGATCCTGCTGTAACCTTCTTTTACTTTCTTCATAAAAAGTGGTTCTGTCTCCCTCACCTGAAAGATTTCTTCTGATTGTACCTTTCCGTTCCCTCATCACTACCACACTACCTTACACCAACCTCTTCGTTATTGTTCTTTTTTTTCACGCTCCTTGTCTTTTTTTCTTTCTCTTCAAATTCTCATTGTTTTGTGTGGTGCATAAATATTGGCGCTCTCTTGTACCAATATTTATGTGTTCAAATAAATAAATAAATAACAGGTATTCTTATATGGTTAAATATGTGAAAAAAATCATAAAAGACATTTGATAAAATGACGCTTTATGAAGATACAATTTAAGCTACTGAATTTGGTTTGAAGCTCATGGTTACAAAGTAGTTTTGAGTATGACAGAACCCTTTCAAAAACTAGTATACTACAGTGTTTACCAAACTTCATGGATAATAATGTAGTATTTTTCAAATTATCAGAAAGAAAGTCACTGGAAGTTTTGTTTGGGGATATTTAGTATATGGTAACACTGAATTTATTCATCTAATAACATAACAATATGAACAGTTGTACTTCAGAAAGTTTTGACTTCTCGAATACCCGTTTTGTTATAATAAGTCTGAATTAGCTGGGAAATAGATGTAGGATGATGGTATCAAAGAGTAGTTAGGAGTCATAACGAGTTCACTCAAGCTATATCTGCCGGATTCTTTGGTGTTCTTAGTATTCTTTCTACCTAAGATTGCAACATGTATCCAGTCGAAAGTGATTGACCTCTCCATCGCTTGCTTGAACATCAACTAGCGACCAAACGCCATGATCTATCTTCGCATGTGGACAATTTTGAACATACATTCGACTAGGAAAATGTTGAAATCCTAAATAGAGGGAACAGTAAAAACACCAAAGAATTTTTAGAAGTTTGGTACTCATGTCAGTTAACAATTGATAAACATTTAAATTGATCCAATTTATCAACCAATCAAAAAATTGGTGGACAACTATAGGACCAATAACTAGATCAAAGCGAGAGACAATCAAAGTAAGGATGCAAACAATGGTAGATGAATAATCTAAAATAACCATTTAAGATTGAGGTTGACAGGACGGACTGTTAGTCATATGTGGAGAAATTGGAATACTTCACTTCTACCTGAAGTTTGTACTGATAATGCTGTTCAGCGGAACAATGTAAGCTCTACGATCAAAATATCCAGCTAAGAAAACGAATCCCTACCAATAAAATTTAACACACTTGCAAAATCCCGTTTAATTATAAGTATACATTCATAATTTGGCTTCTTTTCTTCTTCGTCCCAAGTTTAGAACGCGATTGGAATGTTATTGTCCCAGGTTTTGCTACTGAGGAACGAATTGTACGTAAAAGTTTCACAACTGAAGCACATAAACAGCGCTTAGCTTTAATTAAAAAACAAATTAAAAAAATGTGAATATATATATATCTCTTTGTACATTCAAAATTCTCCTGTTTTTTTACGTCTCCCCTCTGTATTACACTTATATTTATTTAATTCTGCCTTTTGTTGACTTTTACTTCTTTAGTGGGGAAAACTATTTCTTTTTTAAATAAAAAGATTATTCAACGTAAATTAAATTGTTTTATATCATAGTAATTATTATGTAGTTTATTTTGGGTGACAGATTTCATTTCTTTAAATTGATATGTTACAAAATACCTGATTGGTATTGAATTACTCTTATGTACCATGGTCTAATACATTTTCCAAGCTAGAAAATACGATCAAAATTATTTGTATGAACCAGTTTTTGTTTTTCAAATCAACATTAAACAACTGTAAATTATCTTTAAATTAAATAAGATAATTTAGAAAATGTCAACAAATTGATGGTATTTTATTAACTGGATAACAAAGCGGGAAGTTTAGCATTTCATCTTACCCAATCATAAACAACGTAGAACCTAACACATGTGAATAAGTCAGTCATCTACAACGTGGGATCAGGCACATATATGCATCGGTTTAAGTTGTCACACCTCATTAACACAACAAGATGAGCACCAAAGTCATAGAAGTAGTTATTTCAATGGTAATAATATATAAAAGAAAGGTTGTGTATAAAAATATAATACAGGAAGAAAGAATTGGTTCGTAGAAAGAAAGGATAAAGTAATTTCAATCTCACGGTTTAAGGGAAGACAAAAAGTTTATACAGCCACGCCATTGTGATCGATTCTGAGCCACGTCACCTAGAGCCTCCAACCATTGGTTACGATAGTCACGCGGACCCCAACCAAGTAGTCTGCATCTACCAACATTGGCTCAGACTAGAGGTTAGTGTCTTCAAGCACTGATGCCACATTTTGGTTTGGCTGCCCACATGTGAATCATCCTTAGTTGACACACCATATCGTGATATCGAGAAGTTATCAAGATGAATACCAAAGTAGTAGAAATAACAGTAACAATAGTAGTGAAAAAGATTACAAATGGACAAGATGATTGGAGAAGAACGAATACATGTGTGGGATAAAAAGATAATTTATCTAAAGCAAGACAAAGAGTGGGTGAATTTGTTCGATTTAGACCGTCGGTTGCGATGATTGCGTAGATCCTGATCCTATAGTCCGCATCTGTCAACAGGGTTCAATCCAAATGACTTCATGGGTTAATGCCACGTGATTCGGGTATTTCTAACTCCTCAGCAAAGCGCATTTACAACCCCGCGAGGATTCGAACTCGAGGTTGAGACCTCAAGAGGAGTGCTTAACCTAAAGTTTAGACCGCTGAGTCGTTATCCACTAACTTACATTTCTAATTTTAATCAAACTTAGTTTTTGGTTGGTTACCATTGATATTGTTTATCTCATACTCGACATGGTTGAAGTCTGCTGGTCACAGCTCCTTCGGAGTTTACCTCTTGAAGTTAGTCACAAGTACATAATATTTATTATAATGTTGCGAAGACTGTTGAATTCGACTCAGATTCGCCAATCTACATGATTTATCCATTGAAATCAAATATTTCCCAACTCTTAACTATGTAAAAAAGTGGTAGCAGTTTGCTTCGTATTAATCTAGGAGTGGAATGTAATTTCTATGTTTTGTTCACTCTTCCTCGAAATTATGGAGTAGTGGCTTAGTGGTTAAGGTGTTCGATTTTCAGCAACTAGATCTCAGGTTCGAACGTTGACCCACCTAATACGCTTTGGACAACTGGGTAATATCATTAACTCCTAATATTAGTGTAGCTCATAACCAAGTGAGTCAGCCCGCCTTATGATTGCCACCACACTATTTCAATTTCTTTGGTATACATCTTGCTAATTTCATCTCGTCGTGCCAATATGATATGGCAACTTGAGTTAACGTAAGCTGATCATGACTCGCTGACTTTTATAGTACTGTTAATATTACTCCCACTCCTTAATTTTGTACCTTGGTAATACTTTCCGTCCTACTGATGTGAAGTGTAGCAACTTAGACTGGCACTCGTCAGAAAAAGCATGCCAAGTACAGCTTGCCGTAAACTTGTTTAAAAAACGCAACATTAAATAAGTTTGTTCTTTCAGATATCCTTTCTATACAAAAGAAAAATGAAACAATAGAATATTCAAGTTATTTAGATGAAATTTTTTATAATTACCAGCTGTATGGCATATCAAGTATAAGTTTGCTTCATCAAAATGATTCATCTCGAAAGTCATAAAAGTTGACAACCAAAGGTAACGAACGTGAAGGTGTAAGAATAATACGAATAATGACTATATGCTTCTTTATTTTAATGTAATTATCTGTATATGGTTCTCAATACAATGCATAATGATATTAGTTCAAGTGGATATTTTCTACCGTTGACGACTGTACTTTATTATGAATTCAGGCATTAATTTCTTATAAATTTATTGCTTATTGAAACACATTCTCTACTTTAATTATTATCATTGGTACTACTACCGCCTCGTTGATTTCAACTTGCTGTGGTCACCTGGGACGACGTAAATTTGTGTCCAGATCTTGGAAAATAATCAAAGATGAGGGCGGAACTATTGAAGATAAGCTCTGAGATCAGTATGTTTGTTAAGTAGGAAAACGTTCAGAAGCATATCTGGATAGACGAGGTGGAGTCAAAATTGTTTTTTATAGTCAACGTTGACATTCACACACAGCAGGCTGTTCAATTCAAAAAATATATTCAATCATAGTCAACCCCAGCCATTCATAAAACTTACCTACTGGACATATATACGTACATTCAGTGAAAGCAATTCAGCGATCTAAGCTGAACATTACTCGACTGAAATTAGTAGGTAAATTGTTAGGAATTTAATTTATAGAAAGCAAGATACGTCAGGCTTTAGTTGAAAAACACCATTTAGCATCAAATCTCAATAAGAATCATGTATGAAAAAAGCATGATGAACTAATATGTCGGGGCCACGTTTTATCAAACTATGGTTATTAGGTCCACGAAGTGGTTTTTATTTACTGATCATCAAATAACGGCTAAAAAATGTTACACATTTCGAGATTATGACAACTAGTTAGTATTGATTAATAATACTGAGAATCTAGCACACGAACTGATACGTGATTACTAAACTTCGTTTGATTAGAGCGGTAGCTTAGTGAGTAGAGCATTCAACTTCAACCACTGATCTAAAATTCGTTTCAGCAGTACCACTAGACATGATATAGAATGCAAAGTTTGAAAGTGAGTTAGTAAATCCGAACATGTATGAGTTGTAAGCACATGACACTAAACAAGTACTGAGGATTGAATCTTCATGTACGGAATAGATTAAGTTAGTGAAGACGAAACCACCATCTGTGAGCTGCGCTGTCCATTAGAATGCTCTACTTCCCCTAGTAAGATATAGTTTCTAAGTAGACTAGCGAATAAGAACAGGTTTTGCATACACGACTAACTTCGTCAATATACCAAAACAACAATCGTCACTAAGTGACTATTGAAAACCAACTAACTAGGATTTCCTGACCACTATATCTTTCGGTCTAGATGAAAACAGTAAAATCTCGAGTAATTCTAGACTTACTGGTTTAAACCAGAACACACCATGAAGTTGAACAGACTGCGAAAACCCTACACATGGACAACAGACACCCTAATTTTATGTGTAATGTTTATTGTCGAAATTTAGTACACATACAATGGCTTAGTGCATTATCACAAATCCCGAATAGCTCATGACACTACTAATAATAACAAAATCCAGAAATGAGCATCCAAACGTGTTTCACAGTTGATAATCTGTTACCTAGGTAATAAACCATGCAAGCTTCCATGGTTTCACTTGAATAAAAACCAACAGCAGAATACAAAGGCCTATAGCTCATTCTTCGGTTTAGACATTGTTAGGTATAATCCAAAAATCAAAATGGATATAAAGTAGCAGTAGTACTTATATGACGATAATATACAATAAAGTGTAGTTAGTGTTACAAGTTCGGTAATCAAAAGCTGACTAGTTTGCTGCTCATTAGCGCTTCCAAAGTCACACTGGACCAGTGGATTCTGATGCATACGTATACCTAGGATGAACCGTGGGAGGACTATAAGCCAGACTCCGCCAGAAAATCCACCTGTTGGAACCAGTTAAGGCTAGAATATTTTTTGGAACTCAACAACAGATACGATGCTTTTATATTGAGTTATTGTAAGATGAGTAATCTTTAAAACACGACCACAAACTCACAGATCCATATTAAACAACTATCCTTTGATATCTACTCTATAAATGAAATGAAGATCGTACCATGGCAACCTGCAATATGGTTAAGATTTATTTACATACGTTGATTGAGAATATTGTGCAATCATTTCCAGATTAAACAATATGTAGTAGATGTTTACCCTATATTTGCAAGGCGAAGGTTAGTGCAATATATTTACAACATTAAATTGCACAAACATCCCCCTCACAAACATGGACCACAACACAAGCGGCTTGCCGCTTTTTCCTGCGCGGTACATGTAAACAACATCAATGACCAGAGTTGCGAAGTCAACATGAAATTTTACTGTTTCGAAAACAAAATAAGTAGTTCGAATACAATTAATGGATTTGACTTCACCTTGATGTTATTTATCCCGAAATACTGGATTTTTGATTTTCACACAGTGGCTTATAACTTGCTAAATGATGTTCAAATCTATAGTTGTGTTTAGCCAATGGACTGTTCAAATGGTTTTGGACGGAATAGAAGAAGCTTTCGCTTAACAGGCTTCCTCATCTGATAGTATTGGATCACCGACACCTCCAGGTAGGTACCTAGGTATATTAAGGACAGAAGAAGAAAAGGAAATGAAAGTTGGTAAATTCTAGTAAGATACTGTCCTTAGTCCTTACGAATATGTCAAGTGTTTTCTTAAAAGACTCCTGAAGATTCTCTTGGACTAGCTCGGCAGGCAGCGAATTTCCGCATCTGACTACTCTTAAGGAGTAGAAGTTGTTTCTACAGTCTGTTATGTTGTGTTGTCTCCAGTTTCTGGAGGTTATCCCCTAAGTTTGTGTTGAGACTAAGCCTAGGTAGCTGTTTAAGGGGATGTTCAGAAGTATTTAGGATACTATAAGCCATTACTAGATCACCTCTAAGACGCTTGTACTTTAATGGCTAGAGGTTCAGTGGTAGGAGGCGCTGCTCATAAGGTTTCAATTCGAGTCCCGTTCCAGGGATCTGTCCCAGAGTCTATATGCGCCTTAGGAAAATCAAGTTTTAGACTGAACCACTAATACATTAGGCAATAGGTCACTGATCGTTAGACAGTTCATTGAATAACTCCGACTTCAAAGATGTCTAACAGCGATTAATGAATTACATACCATGGATAGGCTCGTGTGGCAGGGGT